CTTGATTCACCACGGCAGAGTGTATCCCTAGACGTAGCAATATTGTACTAGAAAAACGCTTGCCAAAATATGGCCAAATTCCGTGATCTCAACTGTGTCTTTGACATTACTGTGGAAACGCATTAAAATTACCAATTTGTGGCTAGAAGCCTAAGCTGTGCATCTTAGCATCTAGAACCATGTAGTGGCACGGCGTGATAGAGAATTTTGCACCAGTGCGTCCCGCACCCACGTTCCACCCACCTCCACGTGGGTCTGTGCTTTGGCCAATGACTGACCGCCTGAAGATTTCATAATATGAAATTCATATGTAAGGCAAAAGGGCACAAGCGGTTCCAACAACATCCAAATCACCCAAATTCGTGCAATCGCAGCGCGCTACACCCACGGAGTGCGGGGCGGCCTCCAGGGCCACCGCCTCTCCCAGCACCATCTTGAAGAACGCCTCTCCCGCGCCAGTCCTGCCCCACATGTTGTTCAGGGAGGGCGCGCTGCAAGGTCTGCCGCTGGTCCTGAACAGAACCCCGAGGCGGCGTCCGGCCCCCTGCGCCAGAGCGTAGCGCTCCCTGCTTCCCCACACCGCATGTTGAAAGGTCGCCTTACAACGAACGCTTCCTGGGCCCGTTGCGCCGCTGCCTCCCCTCCTCCATCGCAGCAGCTGGAGAAGGGGGGCGTCCGCGGGCACCGCGCGCGGATCGCTGCCATTCGAACCACGGCCCTGGAGAGGCGCAACAGCCGCAGCCTCATGATTGCTATTTGAATCACTGGCGAAATTTTTCCTAATTTTTTTAATTGATATATTTGATATCTCTCAATTCATTCGATAACGACGATTCCCGCAATGCCACGCACATATCATTCTTCCCATTCAAATAATGTTAGATTGATGAAGAGCGTGTACTGGCAGTGTAATCTTCGTCCAGAATGGAATTGGATGCGTGACATCGACCGCGTCTGCTACTTCACTACCTTGTTCTGTAAAATGATGATGACGATGCTAATTATCGAGAACTTATCATCTGCAGAATACGGCTGTCCGTTTCCCAAAACAGCATTGGCCACGCTCGCCTCACAGCGCATCCCCTACAGGCAGTTTAAGAAATGCTTCTGTTGTGAATTAGTGCTATCGGGCGTTGTGCGGTGCTTACCGCACCACACAATTGCGTCGCCACAGACGAGAAGACGTCTGGCAACGCACCTTTCTCCACGCGAGGCCCAGATCTCCGGGCGTGACCACCTGCGACTTGTGCCCCGCCCGCTGCTCTCCACAGCCCCATGCCTCAGTTGGCGGAGCGCTGGGCACCCTGACTGGCTCCTGGCCGGCCCTCGGCGGTCCCTGGGGCCCCTTCATCTTCTTGACCGCCCTTGGGTTGCGGGCCTGGTGGCTGCTCCTGCGGCTGGCGGATAAGTCTTTGCCCTGCTGCCGTGGGCCGCTGCTAGAGAGGGCACCGTCGGGCTGCGCCCGGGGCGGCTGTTTCCAGGGCGGCAGCGGGCTGTGGGCACGCGCCTCGAGGCCTTTGTGTACCGTTTCGCAGGCGACGATTTTCGCCAAGGCAAGCTGGGGCGTGGCCACCTGTTGGCAGTGAGCGTGGGCATATCGCGAAATGCGTTGGTCGTTGAATATTGGATGGTCATTGTCGTTGCTAAAGCAAAAATCCAAATTTGTAAAATACGGACTATGCGCGTATAAGCATTCACAATGTTTATTTTCTGTTTCTAGATCTAGAAATATGTATTTTCCATATCTGCTCGATAGACCGCATGCCCTGCATGCAAACGACGGCTGCGTCATGGCTGTGGCATGTGTGATTTATGGCAATATGGCTCCTCATCCTATATGTGGAATTGTAGCACTTTCTGACACCGTTGCAACCTGTGATTTCTCAGCCTTAGTGCCGCAGATGGAGCTTCCAAGGGCACTCGAATTCAGGCTTGACGATATATGCTCGATCCACCTTGGTCCAACGGCAACATGTTTACCTTTCGCGTGAACAGTGTGATGTTGCCGACCATCGTCTATTATTACTGTGAGGTATCACTGTGGGGGCAGTGTAGACCGCCAGCAAGGGGATGCTGTTTGACACTTTGAGTTCAGCAGAGGCACGTGACATGGCCAATGTGTCGATTTTTTCAAGTTGCTTGTAAGGATGTTCATTCACTCACTGAGCATGAATTTCTCATGTCGCTTGCCGGTACCATACACTAGGGCAAAAAGGGCAAAATTGCACGTGTTCATATATGTACAAAGTTTACAGGTTTGGGTTATTTTCGTGTTTTCAGCATGCAGAACACTGATGAAATGCATACATACGTGTTCCCAAAAAGTGTTATTTGGCCATTGTTTTCCTAGTGGTACGAACATCTGCAAAGGACACCGCGCTGCAACCGGCTGCAGAAATGCCGCCCAGAATCGCCCAACGCAATCGATGCCCAAACGCCCGCTCCAGGCAACGCAGGTGATCAAACCTGTCTGTGGTGCGCCGAGTCCACTGCGCCGTCCCTTGCCGGCGTCGCAGGGGCTGAAGCGAAGCTGAAACCCTGAGGCCCGCCGTTCTCGTCGCAGGCCCGCCGTTTCGGCCTTCCCTCCTCCCGACCGGTCGTGCAATTTCTCGAGTCGAACGCCGCCGCCCATGAGCCGTCATGATGCGGGGGGTCCGGCGGAGACGACGCCTCCCCAGCGGATTTCTCACCGCTTCTGCAGCTCAAGTCGAGCCTTCCATTCGCTTTGCCGTCCATTCTCCCCAACTTCATGCCTTCCTCACCCTGAGCGAATAACAGCTGCCGAGAGGGAGGCTGCTGGCGGCCGCTGAGGCTGCTGCCCCGCGACGCGCAGGCCTCCATGGTCATGTCGCTGCAGTCTCCAACGGATTGGGCGGCGTCCGACAGGGGAAGCGGATCGCGGTGGCCGCCCAGATCTCGCCCACGACCCGCGAGCTGCGTGGGCGGCCCCGCCTCCTCCGCCGGCGCACCAGCCCAGCTCGAGCTGCTGTCTCCCGATCGGGAGAGATTTGCAGAATCTGGTGCCGCGTTCTTTGAAGACGCTGCCAAACCTCCATCGACCAGGGCGTACGAGCGATCCGTGGATCCTCCGTGGCAGTTCTCGATGGGTCGGGCGGCCCTTGCGGGTTCCACGGAAGGCTGGGCTTGGTGGTCGTGCTGCCCGTCGCATTGGTCGTCGGGGGATTGGTGGGGAGGCGTGAGCCAGTTCCAAAAGGCGGAGCCGTCCGCGCCCGCCGGAGCCGGGGAGCAGGATTGAGAGGCGGCGGCGGCGTCGCGGCCAGCGTGCGGCAGATCTGCTTTGCCTCGCGCGCCCGGCGTGTTTTGGAACATCGACCCGCTGCACTTGCCGGTGGCCGCTGACGGAAGCACGGACTTCGCCCTACCAAAGGCGAAGTTGCCGACTGATTCCGACGACTCCATGGTGTCCGTATCTGCTGGAGGTCTGTCAGCCTCAAACATCTGCCGATAGTCGAGGCCAGCCTTGTGATGGGTGTTTGAGATGAAAACCTCAAACAAAAAAAGTCCCAAAAATATTGCGATACTGCGAGTATAGTGCACATGCTCCTCTGTCTTCGCGAGTATATGCACGTTCAGAGGCTGGAGTGTGCGTGCAGCACGGAAAATGAGCAGCAATGAGCAGCACGGACTGCTTGAGAACATGTCTCTAGTTGCACGTTGGCAAGGCTGTTGCTCACGTCAACTTTGAACAAGCCCGCTGCCGCGATTGCTCAACAGGCACGATGTAAATGAAGGTGCCCATTCCAAGAACCACGAGCGGCATCGTCGAGCTCAACATGGGGGCGCACGCTCTTCTAAGGGGCACTGCATTCAATTGCGGCAATGCTGAGGACTCAAAAACTCTTGAGACATAAAAGGTGAATTGAGGGTTTCTGTTGACTCAAGATCAACGTTTTGCCAACAAGTTCTATTGTGAAGGCACTAAAAGGATCTGGAGGTGAACATTCTTTCGAATTCCATCAATCATGGCCGTGAGATTCTTACCGAAGCGTCTCGAAGCTCCCATTGGAGCTTCTGAAAATGCCCCTGCTGGATTTGCAGCTGCCTCTGCAACTCAAGCACATCCTCGCATTTTTGGGCGCAGTTTTCCTCTGACGCGGCGACGGCGTTCCTCAGAGCCATTATTTCTGCCTCATAGGACACAGATCTATGACGGAGCTTCTCGCATTCGCCTGAAGAGCACAGATCAATTTCGAACATGCGCAATTTCGGTCCAACGTCAATTTTCAAACTCAATCTTCGAAGAATGGACTATCCTGCAAGCCGTACGTCAGCAACTCTGCAACGGCTTTTGCGTCGCAAGTCATCTGAAACATTCAAAAGCTGAGTTCATGTAGCTAATGCACTTCTCATCTGCAATAAGAAATCAATAACTTCACAACGAAGCTTAAGCGCAGGTTGTCGTGAGATATCAGCCGCTGACACGATATCTCCAGCCCAGCACTTGCCAAGATAACTTGTTGCTCGTACGGAGCAGAAGGTCGCCTGCTTTAAGTTCACGCTGATGCGCTAATCACTGCCGTTTACATTTTATGCAAACATGCGCATCTCGTCAGCGGACAGAGCATGAAGAAGCCACGACAAATCCATCAGAATCGGGATTTCGAGAAAGGCTTGGGTGCATGGCGAATTTCCACTGAAGTGCCTCATTATCGTGGCCGAGAATGGAAACTCTGCGCTACCATGTCTGGTGGGTTTTTAAACATGCGCAGAGCACGCTTGCTCACGTTCAGCAAAGGAAACTGAGTATGGGCAACAGCCAAGAACTTGCACTGGTCGCCTGAAGGGCCACCTCGTCGACTGTTCCTTCAACGCATCAGACGTTGAATGCAAATTTTCTACTGTCTGTCAATCTGTTGGTCCATTTCTTTATTATGCTTCGCCCAAACAACATGGCCTATTGCGCATTTAATTACATCCACTGCCGCCTCAGGTGACCTGCCTGCATCTGCGACGACAGGGATTGGTAATTTGGGCTGACGCTATCGAAATCCTTCAGTTACTACACCTTGGAGCTCCGTCAGCCTCAATTCTGCCGCCTGGAGCTCCTCAATGGGAACCATGGTCTTCTTCAGATCCGCCACCTTGGCCACATATTCGGCGGAAATTTCCTCCCGCCAGGCCGCAATCTCCGCCTGCGCATCCGCTTTGCACTTCTCCAGATCGTCCCATAATTTCTTCTCCATTTCCGCCACCTACGGATTTTTAAAAATTTATTTACTTGGCCCTTGTTTGCGGAGGCCCGGAGTTTATGGGCATGGAGCCAGGGGTGCCTTGCGCACAGGTTACTCGCAAATCGTCGTCTGTACGTGCAATTGTTAGTGCTGGTGTAAAATTAACAGTTGCACAATGGCTACACGTCAGAGCCCGTACAGTCAGAGACCGTTGTACTGTGCGAATGTACATATTTATAATGTTAAGTGTAGTCCCATCAAACTCGTGCACGCCCGCGACCTCTGTGGTAATCTATGTTGGCGCCATTCTGCGAATGAGGCGCAAAATGGCGGTCCTGTACGGATTTGTCATTGAACCGGACAGATACACAAGATTTCCAGGTGTCAATACTCCGTGAAAGGAAATGAATTACACCAAACGTGTGTCGGAATTGCTCTTATATTCAATCGACCTACGCCACAGTTTCTCGATCAGGGTTGGTATTTACGCCATAAAAACTGGACGTATTGACGTTTTCAAGGGTAAAATTAGTTCTTAGGTATTCTATCGTCAATAACGGTTTTTACAGTTTTTATCGCGAAAATAGCTTTTATGTTTTTAGTCGTGAAAACGCGTAACAATGATTTACTTGAAGTACAATATAAGTACAGTCCCGTGTACATAAGGACAGTACATACAGACTTGGGAATCTGGGGAGTGGCAGTCAGACGAGCTGGAACGGGTAGAAAACGAACTTTTGTTCCATGCCGTCGTTACCCTTGCCGAGGGCGAGTTGGTCACTGTGTTGCGGGTGCTGGAGATGGCGGAGGACTGATCATTGTACGCAACCTGGCTGTCCCAGCGAGCCGCAAAAATGTAAAAGTGGCCGCAAAAATACCCCCTCTCGCAAATTTACGTTTTTCGCGTAAAATGTAAAGGCAAAAACCAAAACGCAAAAAGCATAAACATAAAAATATAAACGTAAAACAACGCAAACGTAGAAACGCAAAAGTAGACGCAAAGCCCACGACTGTTCTCGAGATTCTAGTGCGCCGAACTCCTCTTCCCAAATAAACTGCAGTCATCACAGTGCGGCTAGCATTTTGGGCCTCACAGCGCCCTGCTATTCTTATACAGCAAATTATACAGCAAATCTGAACAGCTGAATTACCCCCAAGTACCGATACAACGAAATACTGTTAATTTCTAACTATCTCACTCTGCTGGTCATTCTGTTCTTATACGGCAAATCTGTTCACTCAGGACGAGGTCCGACGAGGTAGAGCGGTTTGTCTCTGAAACGCGACTAGAAGCTTGTGACAACAGTTTGAAAGCACATATGCACGCTCATGCGACCTTAGCCTTGGCCCTCTTCGCCTCTCTCTGCGACCGTATGGCGTCCACCCTGGCGGCCACCGAAGGGTGCACGAGGATTTGGGTGAGCGACGGCCGCCGCACGGGTGATTTGTCCAGCATGGCCTCGATGAGGGACTGAAGGTGGGAGGAGTACCCCGGGATGAGGCGGGGGGTGGGCCCGGAGACTATTTTTCTGGCCAGGGCGATCTGGTTGCTGGCGCTGAAGGGAGGGACCCCGGCGGTGAGCTCGTATAGCAGGCACCTGTGAGCAGCGAACCGATGGCAACACTGAGCCACAAGAACATGTTCGCTACAGTCCACTGAATGCGCCGTGAATGGTATTGGGCAATTGATCCCCGTTTGGCCGGCGGTGAGCTGGCGGTGCCCGACTCTGCCAACTATAATGACTTGCCAGTGACAGGATGTGGGTACAGATCAAAGCCGGGAGAAACGGGCAGCGTTTGGGCAGCAGGAGGCGGCGACAGCTGCGAGGTCCGCCCCTCTGGTGGATTGTCACAAAACAGCGTGAAAGGAAAGGCCAAATGTGCCTATATTTCGCTATTTTTAAGCATATTTCCATTCAATTTTTGTTTACTAGTTTGTTTGACGATTTCAGGACGAAATATAGCTGTTTAGATCTATAATGCTCAGGCTCGTCCACGCGACGCCCAACACCTCACCCGAACGCCCAGACGTCCGACTTGTGGTCGTAGGGCTGCTCCTGGCACAGCTCGGGCGAGAAGTACAGCGGCGTGCCCACCTGGCTGCGCGCCAGCGCGGAGTCGGGGCCCAGCCTGCGGCCCAGGCCGAGGTCGCCCACCACCGCGCGGTCCCCCTGGAGGAACACGTTGCTGGGTTTTACATCCCTGAAGGCACAGCAAACGCAGAGAAAGGCGCTGCAGCGGCCGTGGAGGGGGGCGCGTCAGGGGACCCGCCGCGGGGCGCGGACGCTCGCTGGGCTCGCCGCCAGCCAACTCGAGGGCGGATGGACGGAGGGCCGGCGCTTTTGTTGTTGCTGCTGCTGCTGTTGTCTGGGTTGTTGCTGTTGATGATGATCGGATGTCGAGGAGCCGCGCAGCTGTGCGAAAGGGGCAATTTTCCGTGGAGCTGGCGAGGGGTCGCGACCGGGCGGCGGTCGGTCGCCGACCCGAGCGGAGGGCCACAACGGATCACGGCGAAAACCTGCCCTCCCCTTCCCCTTCCGCATCGATCGAGCTAGCCTTTCCGGCGGAGACCCGGGCCGCGCTGATGCCCCCGGCGCCCCGACGGTTCGCGCCGCGTTCCGCCCCAGGCGAACCGACCCAAAGCCAATTCTCAATCAATCAGAAATCCGCGCGGATCAAGGCAAGGGGATCGATGCGGGGTGGATCCTCACCTGTGGAGGATCCGCCGGCTGTGCAGGTACCTCAGGCCCTCCGCCACGTCGGCGAGGTACCCCCAGATCTCCTCCTCGCCCACCCGCCCGCCCCGCTCCCGCAGCACGCGCCCCAGATCCCCCCCTGTGCAGTACTCCATCACGATGTACAGGCACTCCGCCTCGCACCAGCTCTCGGTGTACTCCACCACGTTGGGGTGCCGCAGGTTCTCCATCAACCGCGCCTCGTTGAGCGTCTCCCCGCGGTCCCTGTCGCTCAGGCCGTCCAGGGACACCACCTTGACCACGAAGATCCGCCCGTCGCATCGCCGCCGAACTTTGTAGCACGCGCCGTAGGTGCCCTTGCCCAGCGTGGACACGACCTCGAAGGCCTCCGACCGGCAGGCCATGGCGAGAGGGGTGGGGGGTGGGGGGGCCGGTCGGCGCGGCTGTTGGGGAGAAGTGGGGCGACTGTGACAGAAATGAATCGGCGTGTTGATGCAGAGGACGCGTAGCTGGCGGGCTTGGGATCTTTTTTCCTTTTTCTGGATTTCCAATGTATTACACCAAAAGATAAACAGAGGAGCTCCCCCACAAAACGGGCGGGCTTGGGATGGGGCGCAGGGGAAGAAAGTGTGGCAAGTTAGGACTGAGTGTACTTTGGTGTAGCTTAGGGAGGAAATTGCAATATAGGACTAAGTGCAGCTTAGTGTAGTTTAGGGAGGGTGGTGTAGCTTAGCGTGGGAAAATGTAGTTTGGTGTATTATGTTCACGGTCCCCAGAAGGCTCAATTTCCACAAAAGGCGGAGGAAAAAGCTAAAATTTTCCATGAACGGCCGAGTATAATTCGGTGTTGATCTTGTTGGTGTGTGCGCCGGCAAGTGTGAACTATGCCACTGGGCCACTGGACCTCTTCGATGCACCGTGTAGTTCCACACACCGACAAAAGAATGTGAGGCCTGCGCGATACCATATGTTGCAGGCAGGCTTGGTTTTACGTTTACGTTTACGTTTTTACTTTAATGTTTTTACGCGTAAAAACGTAAATTTGCAAAAGGGCCTATTTTCACGGCAATTTTTACGTTTTTGCGGCTCCCTGGGATATCCAGGTTACACGATAAAAGTTGCGTACAATGATCAGTCCTCCGCCATCTCCAGCACCCCCAACGCAATGTCCACCTCGCTCATGGCAAGGGCGATAATGTTGTTTAACAAAAACTCGTTTTCTGCCCCCGCCAGTGCGTCTGGCTGCCACTCTCCGGCCTCCTAAATCTGTATGTACTGCGCTTATGCAACTGGGCAGTTTTGCGTTGTACTTACGCATTTTTACGCATTTCTACCTGTAAAAACGTAAATACGATCAGTTTTTATGGCGTAAAAACCAGGCCTGGTTGCAGATATGATAGGCCACGACGGATTAAGCTGTGCATAATAACGAAGGAGCAAGGATATGCTTTAAATTCTGCAGGGCTGCACTCCAAATGTCAATGTGCTCTGGATAAGGAACCAGCTTCACATCGGTGTCCTGGGTTTGCCTTCACTCCGACGTTCTCTGCAGTTGTTGTTTCGTGTTTTCTGCAGACAGTTTTGAGGCTTAGGTATCTCCTCTAGATATTCGTAAACATGAATCTGGGCCTTGTGTTGACGGGGGAAAATCCGTTGGAGCCCAAAGTGATTTGGGCGCTGTACATCCCTAGGGTGGAAATCGAACATCTCCATCAGAAATTGCAGTGGGCGGAATGCCTAGAGCTCGCGTTTTTGCTGATGGGGGCATTGACAAACCAACATCGCCAATGGTGGATCATCTATGGCCGGCGTGTCTGAATAGGATGTCAATGATCAGGACCGACTGCATTCCATGCTATACAGCATGGAATGCAATCGGCCTTGATCATTACCATATATGGTTTTCAATCTGTGCAAGTCTACCATTTGGTTGAGGGATCGCTAGGCAACTTGTTTCTGGAATTGACGTTGCCCACCACTGCGGTAAATGCAATATCACATGCAATTTCTCTCGCTGCCATTACACCAGCACAAGTACTGATGTACTATTGCGACAAAGAAGTTTCATTGTGCGAATCTACGCGCTCTTATTTAAGAAGTAGGCGCAGTTAAATAAGAGCGCTGCATGACATGTGATCCACACGTTGTATGTACTGCTCGGTTTTGGGGGATGGCAGTGAGCAGAAATTTCAGCCTCAAAACCGCCTGCAACACAAATTGGGGCACCAACAGCCCAGGTCACCACCCTATCAGTCCATGGGGGCGCCTGCGGGCGACATCTTGTTCCCATTTTCCACTTTCTTTTGGCCTGCGTTATATTCTGAACAGCATCAGGTCCATCCATCTTCAATCTTCGGTAGTGTATCAACAGAGGAGCGACTTGCAGACAACCGCCAACACACAGGAGGCCGCTGATTGGGCTGCAAGGCCCCACCGATGTCAGAGCCACCGACACAAAGTGCAAAACCTCCTCTGGGACACGCACCGAGATGTACGGAGATGAACACCGGTGTAGTCACCTGGCCAGCATTTGCAGAGCTGGCCCAGCTCCCAGGGAGGAGCCGTGCTGCTCGATCACCGCCAAGTTTAGAAAAGCCGCTGCCAAATAGGGAAGGAATGCTGGCCATGGTCTACGTTTCACTCCAGCTCAAACATGTGCAGGAGGCGGGCACGTGGCTCCCCGACGCTCTTGAAGGTCGAGGATGACAGGTTGCTCAATGGCATGGTCGCTGCCACGAAGTTGGTGGGCAAGGATGGTATGGAATCCGTACCATATGAAAATTCAATAAGTCCGTGTTTATGGTGAATGTACAAGGGGGCGGTGGGGATAGGAAGTGAGCATCATTGCAGCGATCGTTATTGTCACGGCTTTGCTTCCTGTGCCTGGGTGCAACCGTGTGCGGGCGTGTGCGAAAGGTTAGGTTCCCTGACAATTATATTAGTCATTTTGACTTCCGCTAGTGCAAATTTGAGATCGGACACGACGGTTTTAATAGAGCTAGTACTGTCAATAAAATGCGAAATTTGCGCTACTGCTGAATTTCAGCAGCACATTCACTTGAATGTGGCCTAGGAGATTGCCATCAATGTCCCCGCAACGTTCTCGTACAGCTGTGGTGCATGGATGTATGGCATACCGTGTTTTCCGCTTTGTAAGTGGAACATGATGCAGTGACAGTATGGGGGACTGTCAAGGTGCGCTCAAGTCCACCAATGCGGTCATTGGTCGAATTAACGGGAACTATTGAAAGACAAATTGACTCTAGATCTCAGAGCAAAATTCTCTCGCATGAGTTCCACTTAATTCCACCAATGCTCTAGAGCAGCCATATGGTTATTAGTGCCATTGGCGTACGGCAAATGTAGAGCGCTGCATCGTGGGCACATTTGTTTCTGATACGTGTTGCGTGCTGCCTCTCTCCCAGCCCATGTGCTGCGGACTGCAAGAACCCATACTAGCAAAAGGTGGTAAAGCCCCATCAGTCATGGCAAACCCGAAGGACAGCAATCTCAAATCATTTTGTCGAATTTCCACCGCCCAATATCAACCTGAATTCGGTGACGAACGTGAATGACGTGGAACACCATGTTGCAAACGTTGACAGAATTGACGCCATCATACACCATTCCATGCCATTGCTCATGCATAATCCGCAGCTGTCCAGTCTGCGCAGTTTGTGCTGTAAAGTTTGTAAAGTAAGGACAACCTGTCGCTCTCGACATGCGGACAAAACACCTCCGTTAAGCATGCTACGAGTCTTCAATGCACTGATTTGAGTTCCCACAGCACTTTTGAGATGATAACACATAAAGGTATTGTGCCAAGCTCAAGAAAGGCACTGTTTGGGGGCTGAGCGCCACCGAAGGGGCGCTATGATAGGAAGTACAGGTATGTATATGGAAATGACACAACTGGGCACAAATACCAAACAAGATCGACCTTTCGCAGTATGAAGTTCGAATACAATTCTGCATGGATTTATTCAATCATTAAAGCAGCTGGATTTCACATGCATAAATTGGCGATTGCCATCTCTGCTGTGGTATGCACAATCCTTGAAGGCTTTAAAGCAAGAACACACGATGGATTCAGAGAGTAGCCTTATTCTGAAGCTGCACGGAATAGTCGAATATTCGACTGATTCGACTCATTAATGAGCCGAAAAATCAGCCAACAGCCAATAGTTGTTCATACTGAAGCAAGTTGGCAAATTTGCCCAATCCAACTGCCAGCAGGCCGTGTTCATCTGCTTACACCGAGGATCATTGGACAGTTATTGGTAATATGCTGCACACTTCTTGACCACTTAATTATGGTGGCATGAGGAGGGCAGTCGATGTGCGATGAGCTTGCATTCATCGTTTCTGGAAGGAAAACGTATCTTCCCGTCTCCCTGAAGGTGCATATGGAAAAGAATGCACGGTCTCACAACTGACACTGCAGTCCATTTATATGCACTGTTCCGCAACTATGGCCATTTCTTTAATATGGGTGCACAAGTTCGCACAAATCCATCCAATATCGACATGGAATTTCCAGGCCATAACAACAACAATCGAAGTGCATAAGCCTCGTCTTGGATTGATCGCTGCTGCACCTGTGCCATCTACAACTCCAAAATCACAGCCGTACAATCACATGTCGAACAAATTCTGGCTAGAAAGAGGCAGGTCAGAGAAATCACGGGTTGCCAAGTTGCTGATCGCCATGGTCAAGGACAAACAATTTCGAGAGTGTTAATGGCCACAATGTCCAAGTCCGGGAGGGCAGCTCTGCACTCCCTCAAGCCATCCATGGTGATTTCTGAGCACCCAGACACATCAACACTAGTCAACGAGCTCAAGTTCACCAATTGACCCAGGCCCAGGTTCGAGATCGGACAAAACTTGAGGCTGACGTGTGTTAGACTGGACAGCAGAGCCAATGAAGAGAACACATCATCTGTGATGCCGTCGCACTCATCCAGGGAAAGGCTTGACAGGGCCTGGAGGCCACTCAAAGCCACCAGGGTCCCATCCGTTATGCTGTCACATCCAGCCAAATCAACTTCCACCAAACGGCTCAAGTGCTTCACCTGCTGCAGCATGCCATCCCACCAGGTGCCCCTGAGGCTGAGGCTCGTGAGGGCTGTAAGATGCCGCAGCGCCTCCCCTCCGATGTTCTCACACATGCCCAGGTCCAGTTTGCGAAGGGCCGGCAGGGCAGGCAAGCTGAGCAGCCCAGCATCGCTGATGTCGCTGCCGGCCATGTCCACGTGGGTCAAGCGTGGCAGCCTCGCCAGAAGTTGTGTCCACTCCAGCAGTGAGTCAATGGGGTCGTACCAACAGCGCCCCAGGCTCAGACTCGTCAGGTTTGTGAACTTTGTCGCAATCACATCCAACCGCGCCTTTACGCTCGAGATTGTGATGAGTGGCCGCAGCGACTGTGTGGCCATTGTCGCCCAGACGCACCAGTGCCGATTGACACACCGCATGATCTTCAGCATGCTTATCCGTGACTGATCCTCCCAGTACAATTCGCTCTTGAAGTCTGCCTCGAGGAGATACGTATCCTCTAGCAGCTCTTGCACCATGTCCAGCAAGTGTGGGTGTAAGTGGCTCCAGCCTCTCGTCTCACATTCATACCTCCATGTGCTTTCTCCCGCAAGACCCAGTGGTGAAGCCATTTGCAAGGTGCTGTGCCGGAGGCAACTGCTGGGGCATCAGATGTCTATGCCCTCAACATCCCCCCGGCCATACTCCATTCACTGGTCAAGCTTTTCTGCGCAGCCTCCAGGATGAATTGTGAGGAGGCCGCGAAAACTATCTAGCGCTGAGGGAGCAAACCTGAAACCAAAATGAGCACATGCAATGAGTCATTCCTGCATCAAGCAGCCTCGTTGTTAAAAGGAGCTTCGATGAATTTAAGTGTAAGCGTTGTGAGAATTGGACCCTATTGTGAAAACTAGCTCATAAAGGACAGAATTTGCAGAAAAAAAATTATGTTGGAATGAAGGCTTTGCGAGCTTTGTAGAGATTGATGTGCATGGCTCAAAGCGGATGCATGCATGCATGGTGGCTGCCATTTCATGGGCAATTTTCCAGGCAGGCAGTGGGGACCGTGGACACGGTAATTCAGAAACACACTCTGCTTCTGTCAGCAGTGTCCCATGTCAGCTGACAAGTGCAAGGGCAACAAGCATTTTTGAAAGCTGGTCAAAGCGGGTCGCCAAAGACCAAGAAATCTAAGGATGGAAGACATCAGCCAAATCGATGTCAAGGTACAGAGATCTGAGCAGTGAGTGCCTGCAGACAACACAACTTGTTTGGTCTCTAAAGCACACACGTCAAGTGTTGTATTGCACAATGAAACTGAAAATGATGACAAGAAAAGAAACCAAAGCAAGTGGTAACAATGGACGCAACTGCTTCTCCTCACCGCTCTGTTGCAACTTACTTTGCTGCTGTGGCTTGGGTGAAGTTTGTTCTGAAATATTGCCATCAAAAATGATTGAAATCCTTGTTCAAGATGCAAGAGCCACTTTATTGGTGAACAAGAGATGCCCTGCACATGACTTGCTTATACCAATCAGCAGCATAGGGTACATTATCATGCCCGAAAGGCGTGATGGAGAAGTCATCTGTCCACCAAGAGGTGCAGGCATAGATGAAGCAACAAGTGCAATCGGCCACAGATGAACCAACTGGTTGAAAGTTGGATGTAAATTTCGATTCTTCTACACACGAGGGGGCTTAGATGAGCAGTTCATGACATGAGCATGAACTGACATTCTCTACAGTCCACCTGGAGTAACATGATGAATATTATGACTGACTCCTCCATACTGCACATTCATTTGAATGTGCAGAATGGTATCACTGGCCCCTCCGCTGCGACTTTTTCAGCTGCGGCACTCCACTGCAAACGTGCGCAGTGCCTTTCATTCCAGCTTGACGGGTGTAATTCTCGACGTCAATAACAGCATTCAGATTTGTTCCAATCAGTCAAGTTTTGTCAACCAATCTAACCATTCAATGGGTCCTTTCGAAATAGGAAAGTCGGCTGAAAGAGAGCAGCGTGGTTGGCACCACCACGCGCGTGCCGCCACCAAATCTGGTGAAAGGGCTCCGCTTCGACATCTTCAAGCCAACGCGGAATTCAAAATGTGTGAATTCAACATGTGTGAACGGACCGCCCCTAGCGCCCGCGGCAGGCGTGTACTCGAAACAGGTCGTCGCCAATCAGAAGGGCGTCGCAAACGCCACCGGCAGAGCCTCGCATCTCCCCCTGGCGCGTCGCCACACGCGCAGAGCGCACTGACACCCCCTCAAAACATGCAAGGGGATCAGGCCCCGATCGCACAGGCCAAAACCCCGCGACAAGATTCCCCGATAGGCTCCGAGCCGCGCGATCGAGCGCAGCCTCGCGCATCGGGATTCGGCGCCCTGGTTTCCCCGAGGCCCCTTCGGGCGCCGCCCTCCGGCGGGACCATCCGCTGACCCAGCCGGTCTTCAAAACGCACCGCGCCACCGCCGGGCCCACCTTGCTCAGATTCGCCGTCCAAGGGAGGCTGAAAAGGGCCCTGCTTCCTGCGACCGGGCGCCTGGGCTGTAGTTTTCAAAAACTTGAGGCCTTGTGCAGGAAGCGCGCTCCCCTCCGGTCCCTCCACGTCGCGACCTTTACACACACCAGAATTTGTTGGCCTTATTCCTCCTTTTTTCTTCTCTTTTTGGCCCGCAAAGGCACAGCTGGAACAACATGTACAACGGATGTTGGCTAAGGAGGAATTTAGCGAATTTTAGCGGCGGGGCGGTGGTTGGACGCGGGAAATACTAGTATGCTCCACATCCAGTCAAGCGCTGATGCACTAACAAGCGATGGGACGGGCAGCATACCGTCCAGTACATTGGCCGTCACGTCAGTGTACTGTTGTCGCGGGCGTGAAATTAGTCGCTCTGTCTCTTCCATACTTATTTCGATAACCTGAACCACTGACCCACGTTGGCCTTGTCAGCGAAAGAAGAAGGAATCTTCAATGAAAAAGACAAAGGGACCAATATATTCTCGATGCCAGAGAGTGTGATGATGACGAGGTGCGACAGAAACTGCCCATTGCTGATGGCATGCCCGCCTGCCCCGACAGCTACAGGCCGGCGGAACCTGTTCCACGCGAATGTGCTCGGGAACCAGCGGGAATGTCCAGTCGGGGATTTAAAGGAGGGCGCCACCACGCCAACCCGCAACACCCGCGACGCGAGCGGCCGCGTCCGGTCATTCCGCTGTTTGTTCGCTTCACCGCCGGTGGCGCGGTTTTGATCGCCTTCGTGGGAGAGCAGCGGGCACACCGGGCACACGGGCTGTGCACGAAGGCTTGAGACCCATGTTCGGTCATTCCTGAGCAGCGGGGGGCGTGGGGACCGACAACGGCGCAGCACGAACCAGCTGGACAGGGGCGCCGCATTAGCAGGTTAGTTGGAGACGGGCAGGATCGCCTGTGGGCTGGGCTTGGAGGCGCCCTGGATGTGTTGAGCGGGATACTCTTATGTTGGGGAATAGACACAACGTACATAACGTGCGCGTGCAGACGTTTCCCCTATCTTTCCTGCAAGGAATTCTGAGTGGGTGGGGAATGAAACGTTGGTGCCTCGTCCTAGGGAAATCATTAGCTTCTCTTCAACCGGTGCCCAAAATGAGGCAATTGATCCCCGTGGGTCACTGGTTGATGCAAGCAAAAGGTTTCTGCTGCCTTGTCCTTGTCTGTGCGCTGGATAGAATCCAGAAGCCGGCAGTAAGCAGCTGTTCTTCTTTGCGTTTGCTGTCCGTAAGCTGTGACGATTTTGTACACACAACAAGAGTTGAAGAATGCTGCTATTGAGATTGAGAGTAGAGACGAGATTGAGAGATGGACACTCAAAGACGAACAGGCTATATAGGGCACATGTGGGGGACTTCTTCGCATCAGGAACAGTTGTTGTGTAATGCAGCCACCCAGGTCCAAAACCATCCATCGTCCGTGCTGGCATGCATGTGCACAATCTTGAATCTGCCAGTGCCCAGTCACTACATGCCAATGCTTCCCTTCTGGCATCCTTGCGCTGCCTTGTGCACAATAAGAGGCTTTACCCATGTGTTGTGCTCAGAATCAGAAAGAGAAAGATGATGGCAGCCCACGAGGGTGAGGCAGATGTGAAAGGTGTGCTACTGTACAACCACAAAATGATGCGATTCCTCAGAAGGCAGCTGGACAGAGTGACGCCCTTGTTAATCCCATCAACAGCAACTGCAGAGGACGTTTCTGGCTTCAGGCATCAAATTGCGAAAGGACAGTGGCTCCTGCACAAGCACACGCATTCGTTTAATATCAAGCAGTTCTGTTGCATCGGTGTTGCCCAACAATGTGTGCAGGAGATCTGCGGTAAGCTGAAATACACGATCGAAGTGGAATGGCAGCTTCTGAGCAGGGGCTTGATTGGGAATGCAGTGCCACAAGAAGAACTGGATGAAGACTGGCAGTTTCTGCACAAGCTGCTTGCCTACATTCTCAATGGAGAGGACAGTGGCGTCTCTGACGATGTCCGGGCACAACGGGACACAATCAAGAGGCACCACGTTGAGAATATGGGGACACTCCAAGTCATCAGTGAAATCGATCTTCAGTTGGAGTGAATGATTGGTCGCGGAGGTCAAGGGACTGTCCATCATGCAAAATGGAGGGAAGCAAGATTGGTTGTGAAGAAACCGCTGGGAGAGAACGATTTGTCCATCGAGCAAGTTGCCTGTTCTATGAAGGAGGCTGTGGTGCATGGCACGTTGAATCACCCCAACATAGTGCAGGTTCATGGAGTCACCCTTCAGGGTGGATCATGATGGAGACAGCAACTGGCGATTTGCACAATGTGTGCAATGACAATCCAAACATGGGTTGGCAAGCAAAGGCTGGTCTGCTCCAACAGGTGGCAGCTGTACTCAATTATCTGCACAGTGATGACAGGGCTGATGGTGGTCCTGCCATCGTCCATTCAGTTGTGAAAAGCTCGAATTTCTCATTTTTTGAAGGGACCCTGAGAATTGCATTGTGAAGATCGTGGATTTCGGCCTGTCTTTTGAAGCCAGTGGGGACACAGCAAGCCGCTCTGTGAGGCTTGGAGGAGGTACCCTTGCATGGCTTCCACCAGAATCATATGATGGGAGACCCAACACTGCTGCTTCAGATGTGTACAGCTTCAGTGTGGTAATGTATGAGGTCGTGACAGGAGCGCATCCATATGGCAAATGTGCCCTTGCCGCATTCATCATGAACCAGAAGCTCTCATGTAGAGAACCATGCCAGGTCAGTGACAATGATTGTCCGCTTGAAATGCTGAGCCTCTTAAGAAGATGCTATGAACTCGACCCCAGGGATCGACCAACAATGGATGAAGTCAATATTGCTCTTCAGGGGATGCCATTGGATTGGCCATCTCAAGACTCTGCACAAATGGTAAGCTCCATTAACTGTGTTACAAACTGAGTTATCTTGTGCGTGCATGGCACTTTATGTTCTTCTCCCTGTGCACAGAAGATATACCGAGGACTGGAAATTTCATCTGTCTACATTGATTCAGGTGTGTTTTGATTTTCATGTACTCATTATTGGCAATCATTGCCTTGTCATCTGCCAGGTGATGTCAGGCCAACACGATGCAC